AGCTCCTCTCCTTTCCATTTTCTCCCATCACTGCACATCCAGCCTGTTGGCAGAGTGTTCACAAGTGCAAGAAGGAATGGCAGGTAAGGTCCCTCTGAGTGTTAATTGTGTGCCTTGGGTGGTGTGACAGAGGACAAAGCCCAGAGCTGAGAGCCTTAAACCACTTGACAAGGGCAATAATTGCCCTGAATGGTGCTGCCTGCAGTGACATTGCTGTTAGCAAACCAAGTATCTCCAGGGAAGACAGGGAGAGGCAGAGTTGGCTGCTGACTGGGTTGAACACCTAGGGCCCAGCAGTGCTAGGTATGACATTTCTGAGAGCATCAGAGATGCTGTTACCAACTGGGTGTCCTTAGAACATCCTTTAAGTGAAGTTAGAGCCTTAGAAAAGCTCCTGCTGGTGTAAATCACAGAATAATAGAATTTTTAGGGGTTGGAATGGAGCTCAGAGATGATTCAGCCCCAACCCCTGCCCTGGGCAGAGACACCTCCCACCAGAGCAGGTTGCTCAAGGCTCATCCAACCTGGAATGAAACACTGCCAGGGCTGGGGCAGCCACAGCCTCCCTGGGCAACCTGTGCCAGCGTCTCACCACCCTCACAGGGAAAAACTTCTTCCTAGCCTAAATTTCCCCTTCTTCATTTTCAATCCATTCCCCCTTGTCCTACCACTGCAGTTCCTAACAGATCTCGAGGATCAGGCAGCAAAGAGCAAGAATTAATGCTTTTTCCTGATTTCTATCCTGTGTGAAAGTAGGAAAACTCTACATTTTGCAGGACTTATTCTTCAAGAGCCAAATTTGAGCTCCTTGGTGCCTTGTGTATGACAGGGGGAGTGGATCATGACGCTTATGATGTAAAACAAGACAGGAATGATTGCTTAGTCTAGCATGCCCCATCAAGAGAAAGATCTGCTGGCAGGACAGCATCCCTTCAGGGCCACACCATCACAACACATCCTCCCACCCTCCTCTGGACCTTCTCCAAGCCTGCAATGCAGGTGCTACATTCAGTGCCTCATCCAGCAACTCTGCTGAGAACAGAGCTGTGTTAAAGGGGGTTGATTCAATTTGCAAACAGGCTCACACGGCTGTTCCCAAAGCCAGGTGACCCCTGGAGCAGAGGCTCATTGTATCACGGTGGCTCCAGCCTGAATGCTAATTCTGGCAGGGAGGAAATAATCATGATGGAGACATATCTCCAACACTCCTTCCCTATTGTCTGTGTCCTCTGCCACCTGCTCAGAACAGCCAGGGCTTCTCTGCTCTCTTTTTGTAGCTGTGTGAATGTTGCCTGCTTTTGTCTGGCTCCCCCTTCGACAGCTCTCTGCCTCTCCGTGGCTGGAAAATTCAGAGCAACAATGCAATAACATTGCTTGGGAAAATAAAAAGAGAAAAGAGCTCAAAGCACATTCAAAAGGAAAGGGGAGAAAGGGGAAGGAAAGAGGAGAAAAGCAAGAGAGAGGGAA